AGCCACCACTAACCTATCCCTTCGTAGCCGCGCCTCAGTGCAGTCAGCCCAGCCTCTAGCGTCGCCCCACCGGCAGCATCCTCCCAGCGCCACCACCGCGTCGTCCTGGTGCCATCCCACCACCGCGTTCTCCTCCAAGTTCGACGGTACTGAAGTTTTCATTGCTCTGTTTAATTTTCACTCAGGTACATAAAGTTTCCCCTACTTTGCACTTTGCCATAAAGTACCTATATATATATTGATCGATAGTTTATGTGCCGATTTGCAAGGTGAAAACCAACAACAAAAGATGAAATTATGATATTTCTCCTTAGATTGGGTTAGTTTCACTAAACCCCCATAAGTTTAAAAATTTCAAGAAACCCCCAATACGTTATGATTTTATCCCTTAACCCCATAACGATGGAAGCCCGTATTTTAAGTTCTATAATAGAAAATGATATCATAAGTTGTAACATATGATGTGATGTATGCAGCTGATAATTCTCAAAAGAAGAAAAATCCACCTAGTGGTAATAATAAGTGTCTAAAGTTGAATAATTTGTCACATGGGAAGAAAAAGATCACTACTTTTTATCAGAATAGAGCTATTGAACCAGAATTTTCACGATATCTTGGAATTATTATTCATGATAGAAATATTTGACTAGTAGCTGTTGAGAATTGGGCCAAAATACCACAACAAAATAAAGATCATATGTGGGCATCCATTAAGGTACATTAAAAATTAATTTTTTGCAATTGGTTTTTAATTCTTATAAATTAAATTTTGATTCAAATTTGATATAGGATAAATTTGATGCCGAGGACATGGAGCAAAAGAGAGAGTCAGTAATGAGACACTTGCGCGATTTATGGAATAAGTAGCGGGGTGACATGCACAGGAAATATGTGAAAGATAATTCATTGCAAGTTGCACTTAGAAATAAACCTACAGAAGTAAGTGTTGATGACTGAGATTGGCTAGTTAAGGAACATTATTTTTCTTCAAAATTTCAGGTATTAATCTCCTAATTTTATTAATTTTGTTCCATGTATATTATTGGATTGTTGAAATTATCTTTTAATCTTGATGTATAGAAAGCAAGCCAACAAAATACACTTAACAGAAGCAAAAGAAAGATGCTCCACCACACGCACAGCAAACCCTTTAGACAAATTGCGTGGGAATTGGTATACATTCAAAACTTATTTCCTATTTATTTAAACTACTTTGTTTTTTAGTTTGATATTGTACTCATTTTTATTTACTATTTGAATAAGGGTGACAAGTCAGGAAATCCACCTGATGTGGCACAAATGTTTCATGAAACTCGAAAGAAAACTAATGAAACACTAGATATTGGGGATCAAGATAAATATGTAAGTAGAATATGTGTTTAAGTTTGATAATGATATATTATATAGTACTAACATATGAATTTAATTTTTATAGGATGAAATTGTTCAGGTCAAACAAGCAAACCCTTCACTTTCTGACATTGAGATAGTTGAGAAAATCTGAGGGAAGCAATCTCATGGTCACATCACTGTATTTGGTGGCGGGACTACTTTAAAAGATTTGAGAGGACCGCTCCCTAGTCGATCTGATCTGGAAGCACGGGTTATAAAAGAAAAGAGAAAGAACCAGATGCTTCAACAACGCTTAGATGAGCAGGAGCAACAACAACAAAGGATGTCTGAGTTGGAGTCACAATTGAAAGCTATGCAAGAACTTGTTTTTAGGCAATCACCTTCATTGACTCCTAAAACTCGAGAACGTGTGAAGGACTAGGTAATTATTTTTTATAAAATCTCTTATATACTTTTATGATTGACTACTTGCACTAAAAAATTATGATTTTTACTTAATAAGATAATATTTGCTTAATTGATATTTCTTAATTATGTGATTTTTTTTTAAATTTTTCAGGCTATCCATGCAAGATTAGGAGGGGGGTAGCTCGAGTCTTCTTTAATTTGACGATGATTAGAGATGAAAGAATGTGTCTTCCACAAACTTTTATTTTAATTAGTTTTAGATAGTTTCATGTATTTTTCTTTGGAACAATTAGGATATTAACTCTTGTTATTAGTATTGAATATTTGAGGATGGTGGAATTTTATTTATTGATGTTATTAATGAATAGAATTTTTATTTTCCCTGTTATTCATTATTGGGTATTTTTAATATATTTTTGTTGTGAATCTTAGTATCAGATTGAGAATAATATGATAGTTGCCTATGAATAAAAAATTATTATTAAAGTATATTAGAAATTTGTAGTCTATAATGACGGTTTTATAAACCGTATTTTGTTCATCAACGAAGGGAAAGCACCATCGTTGATGGGTTACTAATTACCCATTATGAGGACTTTTACGACGGTATCCAACCGTCATTAATTAGTCTTTAACGATGGGAAAATATCCCCGTAACTAATGGTGACGACGGGAAAATATCCCTGTAACTAATGGTAACGACGGGAAAATATCCCGTCACTGATGGTAACGACGGGAAAATATCCCTGTCACTGATGGTAACGACGGTGATAATTACCATCGTAAATATTAACGACGGTAATATGTTCCGTCGTTATAGACTCTATAACGACGGGTAGTATATCCCTTCATGACCCTTTAGCGAAGAGGGTTTCAACGACGGGTGACGAAGGGATTTTTCCCCGTCGTTAGCATACAATAACAAAGGTTTTCAGCTCTTTAACGAAGGAAAATCCCTTCGTTAAAGATGTAATTTCTTGTAGTGATTTTGGTTTAAGATTTTATACAGATCTAACATGAGATTTTGATAAAGTTAGTTGTTTTCATAATGAATTTATAAATATAATCATGTTAAGGTTAGTGAATCCCCTCAAATATTTATATTTGTGTTTTCATGAGGTTGTATGAACTTTAATTACATTAAAACAAGATTATAAACATGTGTTTATGTGAAGATTTTGATTTTTGTAAGAAAAATAGATGTTTACAGGAAATTGAAGACTTACCTCTGGTCGGTCGATCGAAGCACAAGCATCGGTCGACCGATCAAGGCTAAATTGTTTTGTGCCCGCTTTGTGCATGCCGTCAGTCGACCGATGATGATTCATCAATCGACCGGTCTAGTGTTATTTGTGAACTTGATGTTTTTGACACGTGAGTTGATTGTGAATACGAAGTTCGGGTCTACACATCGAGACACGTTCTTGGACACTGGAGTACATGTTTTGGGTTTGCGTTCGCACAAGCGATTGAGGTGCGTAAACTAACACTTTTAGTTTGTCATAATAGAGAGTGACATATATTGCATTTCATCATATTATGGATGCTTGAGTGAGTTAGTTGGTATCCCGCAATGAGACTGTGGTGAGACTGCACTTAGAGTAGGTTAGTTGGTATGCCACAATGAGACTGTGGCAGACTACACCCTATGATGCATCATTCTAGATTGGGCTGATATGCCTATGTTCCATAGGGCGATTGAGTAAGGCGATGATGCCACAGGATATTGTGAGCGCCTTACTTAGAATTGTTGTTTTCTGATAAAGAATTGCACAGATTGCATTCATGCTCCCATGATTAGTTACCAAAGAGTAGGGTATAAGACTGAGGTTGTCATACACGACTTATATCATGCGAGATTCTTTTACCAGATTATTAGTCTTATAATTGCGCTAAATATCCGAGGGTAGTATGAGACATCATGATATGACATTTGTGACATGTTTTGGATTGAGGTTTGGTAATGTATTGTTTTGTTGCTTATTCTTATTCATAGGATTTGGGGTTGGTATTTAGCGATTCAAAATTTGAGATATGAGGTATATACATGAGGTTTTCCTTGTTTGGATTATTTCGCTCGACGTACCCATTCTCGTATTGTGAATTTCTAAATATCAATTTTCTCTTAGTTCAGGATAGATGCTTTATATATCTATATGTACTAACTTGTATTTTCCTACACATACCCCTTCCCCCTAGGGGCGATGGGGATGTTATCGCTAGCGCTTTGACGCTCGTTGTTTCCCCTCTTTTTAGACAGCGAGTCAGCCGCACAGAGAGTGACAGGTTGATGGAGTTTCGGCTTAGCTTCCATTATTATTTATTATTAGTAGTTTATTTGTGCTCCATAGTAGTTATGGTTTATTTTTAAACATTAGAGTTGCATTATATTTTGGAAGGTTGTGTGCCTTAGTACTACTTTAGTTGACTCTTATGTGTTGAGATATTTCATCTATGTTTCGAACATTAGTTGTACTTTATTTATTTCAGTTGGAACATGATTATTATTATTTTAATATCTCTTTCCTTTATCATGTTAATTGCATTTTTATCTTTATTTTATCTGCTTTGTACCTGTACTTGATTATTGTTGATTCCACTAGAGAGATATTACGGTGATGGTAAAATATGTTGTTGCACCATGTGGGTGCATGGCAGGTTTGACATATTTGGGTTCACCTAGGACTGCAGCCTTGCGTAAAACCATGGGCGTTACATCATCAGTTGATTCATACTGTTCATCAGTCGACCGATAACGCTGTAGCACCGAGTTACTGATCATCCAAAAAAACTAAAAGATTTTCAACAATATGAATACATATGCAAAAATAAATAGGAAAAAAAATCCTATGTTGCTTTATTTTTCATCATTTTCTTCCCTGTTCAACCAGTCATGTAATCTGTCTATCAAAACTTTGTGATCTACAATATTTAAAAAAAACAAGCAAAAAACCCTTAACAACTATACATTAAGCTAATGCGCTTACATGGTCATCAAGTCTGCCATCACAGATGAGATTAAGCAGCTCCAATACCTTAAAAAATCCTCACAAGTGCAAAAAAATTTCATCTACCTCTCCTCAACTCTGAAAATTCTCTATTTTCACAGTAATCATACCAAAATTCACAGTCATCATCTAATGCAACAACACTAGCAGTAATCATACTTAGATCAAAGCATTCAAATTCCAGCAAACTTTTGAACCAGTATCAGTACCAGCAGATATACGAAGCATTAAACCTTTATTAGTCTAAACATATACCAGTGCTCGGAGTACACAAAACAAAAAACACCATCCATCTCTAATGGCATAATACCTTTTTGTTATACTATACACAAACATACCCCTCAAACCTTACACTTTATTTATTGTACATCATAAAGCAGAAGAACAACGTGAACCTCATCAGAACACAGGATGTCAACTCAAATGCGCGATTTCTGCATTATCCACACAATAACATGAGCACGATCACAAGTGACATTCATCATATATAATCATACAAAGTCAAAGTATTGCGTTAACTTGATATATGTTCTTAAATTCGATTGAATCTAATAATGCACCTTCAAAATTAGATTATATGCAATCAATTTACTTTATTCACTTCATTCATTTTGATCTATATGATTCGGATGGCATGTAAACCAAAAATTAGGCATATTGGGGTGTATTTACTAATGCATCAAGTGATAGTAAAATTAACGGTTTTATAACGATACAACCAAAGAGACAATAAAAATATGTGTTAGAAATATTCAAATATCATAATTTTTATTTTATAAGTGTTTTAAGACATTTAGATCATGATGAATAGAGCGGATCGTTCATTGAAATAGCTCAATCCGTACATTGAGATGTGCATCCTTAGATTCAATCTAAGGCTCCTTACAAACACACACACACACACACACACACACACACACATGTAGTATTTTTTAAAGTTTTGAGAGTACCAAAGAGCAAAAGTCTTTTAATAAGTGGATAGACACCCCTCCCAATTGTTGATAGACACCCTGTACTTCTATTATTGCAGAGAGACCCCTATGTGAAATCTTTGGACTCTTTTATCTTTAGGACGTCTATTTGTCAAAAAATAATTTTCTCTTTCTTTAACGATAAAAACTTAAAGAAACACTCTGGGGTCTTATCTGCAACAATAGGATTGTATGGGGTCTATCCACAATTGGATGATAGTTGTGGGGTCTATTCTCCAATATTATAAGATAAACTTTCTCCCCAATTTCATGCACCACAACCAATTAATAACTTGAAGTGATAAAGGGGTAACTGCAGATGCTGCTCCTGTACTGAAGGTGGTTAGCCACTTTTTATCCCTAAACTTCTTTTAAGCTAATATAAATTATTGAATCTAATGATTTTTTAAGTTGTGCATGTTCATAAATAATATAAACAAGGTGCTAGAGTTTATAGTTCAACCTGCAAGGGGCATTGAGGACCTTCATTCAATCTGAGAAAGAAAACATAAAATTATAAATTAGGTGCTTGAATACACAGTGTACTTATTATAATACGGTCCACAATGATGAATTTAATAATATAGAGAATTCAACCCAAATAAAAAAAATAAAAAAGGACCTACCCCAATCGTTTCTTAATGCCACCAAGTAACTCTGTCGGATCATGCTTAGTTGCTGTATAAGCATCAATCTTGTTCAACTCCTACAAAGAAGGTTTGATAGGAAAAATTAGGACTGTCATAATTCATAAATTAATTTTTTATCACCATAAAGACTTAATCTTATCAAAAAATGGAATAGGCGATGTAATATAACTCCATACTTTGAAGACTCAATAAAAGACTAAAAGAAACCAATAATGGAATTAATATACAAATAGTTATGCTCAAATTTCAGTATGATTCTATATGTACCTCAATCCATTTGGTCAGCTTTGGCCTGCCTTTGGTGACGTCATAATTCTTTACCTCTGAAAACAAAGGCTTGAACCTTTCGACAACAAATGGCGCATACGCAATATCCACCTAATAAAAATGATGATTTAGAATATCATTAGATGTCATATCTCATCGATGTAATGAGATGATAATCTTGAAATGCTTGAAGCAATGACGACCTCTAACTTGTTATCAGAATAGAAAACAAGATAATCATTCATCTTTCATACTATATGTAATTATGTCTAAGGTTATATTAATTGCCTCATAAAAGGGGCATCACACAATGAAGGCATAATTCTAAAGCACATAATACAAAGAATAGACAGTTTAAAATTTTTGTCAGCCATTAGCAAGTGGACACAAAATATTAAGTCATAATCATCACAAAATTAAACTTCAACATGATCAGCCAAGTGAGTGTTTGTGTGTTTTGAGGGGTAGAAAAATGAGAATATTCCAAGTCCATATTTTTTTAATACATTAAATATTTACTAGTCAATATAAGTAACATGCACATTTATTTCCAAAGAAAAATTTAAAATAAAAAAACACTTCAACCAACCAAATTCTTACCAGACTAAATTCGCCGAGGAAAAATGGTCCATCAAACTTAGCAAGAGCTTCTTCCAACTTATCGTAAGCAGCACCTAATGTACATCAAGTAGTCTAAATTAGTAAGTGTTGATGATCCTTGATCATTCTCTTTCTTCCTCTTCAATAAAAACATAAATCTCATAACTCACCAACTTCATAACATGCATCCCCTTTAGATTTAATTGCAAAGAAGTTAACTTTATTTAAAGTGTCACTGTAACTCAACAGCTCGGTGGCAAACTCTTGCTTTGTGGGATCCTACAAATCATAACACATACACACACACAACTTAGAAACTATGGCTAATATTATCATACTTATGTTGAAATTAGGAAGGATATACATTCTTACTTCAGGAAGCAATTTTGGGCCTTCAAAATTTTCATCAATATAATGGATCAAATCCAAACTCTCCCCTTTAACTTCATTATTATGCTCCAAAGCAGGCACCTATAATGCAAATTACCGTTATAAACTAACGCAACAACAAGAAAAGGTAAATCTGCTTAAAATTTGTGTCATTTGACCGTTATATCAAAACTCTATAGCTGTAGTGAGGGTTGAGGAATATAATTTTATACTCTAACATAACTATAAAATTTTACCATTCTTTATAGCATATTAATACAAATTTTGGTTTTACAAATAATTTAGGATGGGTATTTTGGGTGTATAAATGATTTTGGAAAACTGTGGGTTCAAAAATAAATAATATTTTGGAGAAATTAATAAGAAAATGTTATAAGTAATTACCTTGTTTTCAGGGTACAACTTCTCCTTGTACCAATTTGGCCTATTTTGGAGGTCAATTGGGACCAATTTTATCTTATCTTGCAAACCCTGATCCCAGAATTTACATAAACAAGAAAACCCAAGTCAGCATTTTCATTAAATTTCAGCGAAATGCAAAAATAAAAAGTGATAATTGAGTAGATGGGTCTTTTTCACCTTGTAGTTCCTTGTGATCCAAGTTCTTTGGGCAAATGGACATGTGTAGGATACATACAACCTTTATATTCGAAAACAAGCAAACAAACAACAAAATATCAATATAAAAATTAAGAAAATACCCATACTTCATGGAGAAAACACTGTATATATATATCTCTCTCTCTTTTTACCTTGTGGTTCCATCAAAGAGAATAGGTGGATCCGCAGAGGCATCAAGAATAGAGGGAAGTTGCTCGATCATGTTGCTACGAGTAACGTAACTATAATAAAGCAAAATGCTTAAGAAATAAAAAGTTGGAGATAATTAAAGAAACCCAGAAAAACTTGATAGAATCAACCGCTAAGAACTCTAATGGTGAGGGAATGTTTAGAAATGGGCAGGATCTTATAGTAGCCTCCCGCGCTGGCAGCCAAATTAAAAACGTACTCAATTTATACGCGCTAACGAATTTCGTGAATATTCAAACAAACCATGCCATCGCACGACTGATGTTCGAATACTGTACCTGGCCTCGTTCGTGGGCGGGATTCGTTGCGCGCGGTCCGTGCAAGCGAAGACCAAGACAACGTCAAGGCCCAACGGCTTATATTAACGAGAGTACTTGTCACGTTAATAACGAAGAGTATTTGTTTAACGAGAGTATTTGCCATGCCGCACGTGCCGAAAATAACCAAGTGAGGTCGCATTCGACGACAATTTGTCGTTATTTTTAGCTTCTAAACTTGCACAGTTAAAAAATATTTGGTGGACTGGACTTTTCTTTTTCTTGTTATTTTTAGACTTCGAAACTCCATTCTGAAAAAAAATTTGGTGGACTGGACTTTGCTTTTCATTTTCCTTTTTTTTTTCAACGGACGACTGGACTTAGTCCGAAAGCTCGAACAAAATCACAACAAAAGCGCATAATTAACCATGAGGTTTCGTTGTACATATATATTTCATGGTTTGAACTTAGTCCCTCAGACCATTAAATTTGCTACTATATACATCTCTAAATTCTCGTAAGTTGTTTCAGATTAATCTTTCTAATTGCTACTTCTACTCTTGAATGGAGGGGCTAATTTCGTAATAACTTAAGAATGAGGGGACCTAATAACAATTAGGATGATTTGAGGGACCAATTTCAAATAAATTAAAATTGGGGGATCTACTAACAATCTTAGTGATTTGAGCCTTTGAGAGGCTAATTTTAGATTTTGAAAGCTTAAAATTAATGTGTGGACTCTCCTAATATCTCTTCTGGGTGTGTGGGGTGCTGACGGAAACTATGTGTGATAGACACTAGCTTTTGGTCTATATCGTTGGTTGCGGTTATAAAACTAGAGGAAAATGCTATGAGGTCCCAAAATGAAAATGGAATGTGAGTGAGCCTCAACTCAAATTTGTTATGTGCATAGCCCCCAAATTGGCTTACCATTCATTCTTAAGCCTCAATTGCTCATTCAAGTACTCATTGAATACTGTTTTTTGTGTAAAACCCAAAATTACTCCTCTATCTTTTCATGGAAATAGCAAAAAAATAAAAATAAAAACCGTTGCCCTGTTTCTCTTGCGCTATAATGATGATATGCATTTACTGCTAATTAGATTTGTGTTTTGGAGGGAAAATATCCTCTCTTTCCCTCCTTAAATCTTACCTAACTTATCAAGAGAGATGGGTCTATCTTAGTTTTCCATCTAATTTCTCTTAATGATCATAACCCCACTTTACTTCTTCCTCTCCTTTTACTCATCCTTCATAATGCCAAAAAGTTCTATACTTTATATGGTTACCAACACATCAACTTATGAGGGGATATTCCTACATGTTGATTCTTAAACCCAGTTAATGAGCCTAAAGTTTATAGTGTCAGAGAAATTAAAAATCACATTTGATTCTATCTCTAAAAGTCAAATCTGCAAGGAACAACAACTTCACATTTGTTATTGAAAATGAAGAAGACATGAATAATATAATTAAGGGCAGTCTTTTAAATGGATATACATATATCGATTAGTACGCTAATGTAATAAAAGAGGATTCAACTTTCCATAACACACATAAAGTGCCAGAAAAAATATATAAGTAAAAGCATTCACATTCAAAAGTTCGTTGTTAAGTTTATTCTATATATGTCACTGTTAAATGTAAGTTGTTAAGCTTAGGTCTTAGTAGTGAAAGTATAAGCAGTAGATGTAAAATATATGATGTTTTTATTCAATAAAATTGTATTGACAGTTGTTTAAAAGGCAAAATAGTTGACAAAACATATGAGCCATTTGTTAAGGGTATGATCGAGTTGTTAGTTATACCAATCAACTGCTAAACATATGTTCCAGTCATTATATATATGAAATAGTTGTTAGAGTTATGAGTTAGTTGTTAGGGTTATGTGTTAGTTGTCAAGAATAATTTATTTTATAATCATCTAATTCTATGTTTCGATATCGACACTAGCATTACTATATCGCTGTTATCCCAATGCAAATTGAATACAACAACTAATCCCTATATTTCTAAGAAAAATCGTAAGGACGATCTATCTTGAGATGTTGTTATGATGATTGAAGACATGATTAATAGGACAAGCATGATTCCTGTAGAGTGGCACACATCTATATGTGTGGAGGGACAAAAGTTTGAAAGTGCAACAAAAGTTAGATTAGCATTAATCTACTGTTGTATAGCGTAAAGGCTTGAATATGAGGTTGAGAATAATAAACTAAGATGTATGAATTTCTTGCAGATATAAGATCACGTATAAATGCCCATGGATGTTATTTTTCTCTCCTATTTGAAAAGGAACGACTTCGCTATAAAGAAATTCAAGAATACTCATGCTTGTGGTCAACATGGCGCTAATGTAGGCAGACAAGGGCATTCTATAGATTCATTGTTACCCAAATACTAGTTGTTCCGAAAGTTCATCCAGACATTCGCCCTATCCAAGAATGACTTTCTTCTCACCCAAAAACATCAAGATTGATTACAATAAGGTGTGATATGGTAAAGAGATTACACAATAGCAACTATTTGTTTATTATGACGAGGCATATCATTCTTGTAAGTTATTATACAAAATGATTGGTTGTTGAATATATTAGTTTGTTATTAAACGTAGAAGTTTGTTTATATATTGTCGACAATTATTATATTTATGCATTAGTCATTAACCGTATTAGTTGGTTGCTATTTTTAGCTATTAGTTGATGCTTTTAACTATAAGAGTTTTGTGGCAAGCAAAATATTTACTTGCAAAGTGTAGTTCATATAATATTTTCTATTTATATAGGTATCAAGAAATGGTTAAGTCTATCATCTAGGAAGTTATATTGCCATTGATGAGCTTGATGTCCATTTTTAGGAAATTATTCATAAGTTATAATACATTCAAGGGTTTGTCGCTAGATGTGAGCCTCTTTTGTTCTTAAATGGAGCATATCTAAAGATCGCAACAAACGTATACTCCTATGTGTCATGGTAGACAATGTCAATCAAGGAATTTTTCTTCTTGCTTATTGTAGATGCAATTAGGAGAATGGGGATAACTATAAGTGATTCTTAAAAGGATTATGCTATGTTTTTCTTGAAAATGAAGAACCATACCATCCTCCACACCAACTAATTATAATATCTGATGCAGAGAAGGGAATAAGAGTAGCGGTTGAAGAATTGTTTTCAAAGGCTCTATACACTAGATGTGTTCTCCATCTAGTAGGAAACTTCGAGATAAAGATGAATGTGTTGGGGCATAAAACAAACATAGCTCGAACATTGGGGGACTTATTACAAACTGTGGCTTATAAGTTCACAATAGAATGAAATCATTCCATGAAGATATTTGCTTGATAGATCATAGGGCTTATGTAACTACTATGAATTATTCTCCAGAGAAATGGATAAATGCATTTTCCCAGATATAAGGTATAATACTAGCTATTAAGCAGATGGGTAGTTGTTAAGCTTATTACTTAGTTGTTGAACTTATTAATGTTATCTATTATACTTACAGATTAGTTGTTAAAATTGACACTCAAATGTTAAACTTAGCAATTGATTGTGAAATATATATATGTTAATAATTGTTGATGGTTTTAGGTATGGCCACATGACCTCAAATGTTACCAATTCCTTCAACAATTGGATATGTAAAGCATGGATGTTATATATTTTACCTTTGATCGAGACTATACGTAGGAAATTTATAGAGTGTATGCATGATAGGCGGGTTATGACTTCAAAATAGAATGGATTTTCATGTCCAAAAGCTGAGTTGGTATTGAAAGAAAATATTCACCAAGGCGGATGCCTACAGGTTAAGCATTCAACTGAAGATATTGTGGAAGTGGAATCCCATAAAATATGTAATGTAGATTTAAAAAATTATCATACTTTGGATATCACTCGTATTTCTTATAAGCATGCTTGTATTGTGATTGCATGAATGGGATGGAATGGGGTGGAATGTTTATCATTATTGCAATTGGTTTATGACTGTTGAAGCTTTAAAAAAAGCTATGAACCAATATTATTTCCTATTTTTGATTATGACAACCTTGTGGTACCACTAGATGAGAGGAAGTTCAAGGCCCTCCTAGAAGAAAAAGATATGGGAGACCAAGGACAAGACGTATTAACAACATATCAGAGAATATTCGCTTAGCAAAATGCTCTCAATGCCATACTGAAGATCATAACCGAGCTACATGTAATGAGCTTTGTTGTGTAAAAATATTTTGTGCCCTCATGAATATTCTCTAGTGTTTTCAATTAGTTACTTGTCAATAGTATGATTTTGTTGCTAACTTTATGCTTTTCCAACAAATCTTAAATAACCTCATTCCGAGGTCAGATGAGAAAGTTACAGTCAAAATACCAAAGGTTACTTTCCTAGTCAGACTAGGTTTTCTGGTTCGGGTCAAACGGGTTTATTTTGGGTTTGTATATATATATATATATATATTAGTATATATATATATATATATATATATATATATATATATATATATATATATATATATATATATATATATATATATATATATATATATATATACATATATATATATATATATATATACATGTGTTTTCATGAAAATTATCATCATTCCTCAGAGTTTCAAATCTTAGTAGTCCCTCTTCCTCTTTCTCAAACCCTAGCCCTAAAGTTAAGATTTTGGGAGCGTCTTGTGAGGCGAGAAGCGAGGAAAAAGTGAGATCTATGACGTTTGGTGACGAGGAGTCGTTTCACATCAGTTTTAGAGGCTTGCACACGTGATAAGGAAAGATCATCTGTATCCAAACCCATTCCTATAGTGTTTAATGATTATAAAAGTGTTTAATTAATGTTTTTATGCTT